TACACAGGTATAAGAAAACATTCATCTGGGTGGACAATAGTAGAGTTAAAAACTAGGCTGGACCCCAGGTACTCTTGTGCCCATGATAACTGGATTAATAGGAAATGAAGAGAAAGAACCTGAGAATACATAAGTCTGGGGTGGGTGTCAGAAAAAATTTTCTGTTTAAGGGATCAAATATTTGTGGTCTGTTGCAACTACTCAGTTCTGTCATTATACTGTGAAAGCATGCACAGATAAGATATAAATGAGCTTGGCTATGTTCCAATCACACTTTATTTATAAACATTGAAATTTGAATTTCATATAATTTTCATGGATCACAAAATTATTACTCTTCTTTATTTTCAATTATTTAAAAATGCTAAAACCATTCTTAAGTACTGGGCCATACAGAAACAGGTGACAGACCAGGATTTGGCCTGTGGGCCATAGCTTGCCAGCCTCCGGTCTCGGGGACAGTGGGGAGGAGAGGCAGGGTATACCCGGTTTAATAACTAGGGGGAATGAATGTTCTTGCATTAAACGTAACCAGAAAAGCAGCTCCCCTCAAACATGTGCATGTTACTGTCAATCCCAGTTGCAAAGTAACGGGCATATTTCACTGTCCTTAATATTAAAAGAACTCCAAAAATGTACTCATTGATCCAGGGTAAAAATAATTCTCAAATTATGGTCCACTAATCATAATTTTCAATATATAACTCGTTCTGTAGAATCTTAAAATTATAACAATAAATACATTGTTAATTACCATTTTGTCCCTGAGTCGCTCTCCACGGATAAAAAAGTCAGCACAGCCATTCTCTTCCTGGTGAGGGACTTTGAAGACAGTGACGCAGCTTAGTCCACTCCCTCCAAGTGGTAACCATCCACCACTTGAGTCATCCCGGGTCATCACCACAGCTCGCACTCGTGCATAACTATTACTAAAATAGATGCAAAGATTAGAAATTAGCTTTTCCATAAACAAAAACCAGCCAAGCTGTCAATCTTGTTTGAGAAACCAAAGGCCACATCAGTTAATGTGTGGTAATTAAAGTGTTCACTACTTCCATGATAGTCTACAGAAAGTCACCTACTTGAAAGATGTCAAAAACCACACACTAATTTAAAAGGTTAAGCTTTGTTTTGAAGACTTAACCTCATAATAAAAGACTACGGAACTCTTATTTCAATGCATCAGTCAAATAGTTCAAGCACATTTGATTGCTGTGGAACAAGTTATAAAAAACCCCAGAGATAAACACTGTCAACTTACATAGGCCATCATCAAACTTGTCTATATATTTTCA